AATTTTTTCTTCATACTTACCTTGAGTGCAATAATATTTTTTTTAATTTCGTCCCGAAGGTAATCGAGACAAATTATACACTTAAATTGACATTTTTCTATACAACGATTATGGTAACCATGCCCACATGAAAGAACTTTGCCATTATCTGAAAAGTTGGTATAGTCGGTATAGTCACAATGCAAGTAATCGCACAAGACAGTTGTAAAAGATTTTCTAGAGGTAACAAAACCTCGTGGAAGGTGCCGATCTGTTATTTCATAGCCTAAAGAAAATAACTTATACATGTTAATACCATCAGAAGAATTAATGGTTAAAGAGTAAACATAGCGTGCACGATATATTTTCTTAAACATGTCCAAGAGCACTATAGCACACTTTCTGTAAAGCGTGTGCAATTGCTTGGGAGTATATGAATATTTAATCGAATTCACAAAATATTGCTGAAACGAATTGTCTTCCCGGTGTTGAAAAATAAAACGTAACACCTTCTGTAACAGATTTGCTTCGGAAAACTTATTCGTACGTCGTCGAATTATACTGTGAACAAGTTCTACAGGACAATCGCTCAAAGAAGCAAGGTGATTAGTAACTATATCGATCATTGGATAATTAATTTCTATCCAATAAAAAATATCAGAAAAAAACATTAAAGGTGCACGCTTATAATTTCTTCGATCAAATCGAAGAAAAAGATCGCACCAGCAGCGCATACAAGCTTCTTCGTAAGCTGGCCAGTTACCTTCTCGATGATGCACTGCGTAAACGTCAAGGACTAAGGGAATTAAATTACTTAGAAGATCGGTTAGATATAAAAATTCAAGATTTTTACATGTATGACCAAACTTTGAAAAAACAATATCGGATATATCAAGCCACGCCATGTGCATAACATGAAGCATTAAATCAATTCGCCATGGCTGTGGCTTCTTACCAAGTTCCTTTTTTTTCTGCCCGAAAATACCTTTATAGACCTCGTTAAATAAAAACCAATTCTTCTTAAAAACGAGCTCACGACTATTTAAGGAAACGTGGAGAGGTCCCATCATGGGCACGAATGCCGTAACAAATAGAGGTATTATTTCGTTGTTGAGAAAAAGCCGATGGGCAATAGCTTTGCAAATAAAGAACTGTCCGGGCTAGTCCGCAACAATCGGAATTGCATTATTGGAAAGGTACTCCTGCATCGGCCTTTGATTATACACGATTTGAAGAGCTTTTGTATAATCTTCAACACTCTTCAACTTACTTTCAACGAAATCAAAAAGAATGGCATTCTGTATATGTCGGTCGCTCTTTTTTTCTGCCAACCTATCGTCGTAACTGTGCAAAGTTAGTCTTTCTATAAGCTTATCATCAGAACACTTACCTATATAATTTCGTCTACGGTCATGATAAGAAACTCCAAGGTTCGTAATAAATCGTTCGTCAAGATGCTTCAAAATTAGCTCATCATCAACGACCTTTGGGTTAAGCGCCCCGTTAAGTGGTATCGCTAATATGGGGCACAGATTTGCAATAATTGTCGCCATATGTGCTGCCCATGATATACTGGTAGTATCAGGCTGTCGTTGAATGTAAATGTTATGATAATCATCAATGTTCAGCACGAGAGCATTTTCCAAACGATTTCCAAGTGATTTTTCTACATATTCCCCATGTGCCGCTAAAAACTGTCTTTTCTTACGGTCTACCGCCCTCGCAGTTGTGGTTACTCCAATACTGGCTAATGTGTTTAGACCTTTGTTACTTGTACCTACTGAATCTAAATAGTATACTAAATCAAATTTGAAAGAGTTAATTTTTGAATTATTTAACAACGCAAGGAGATAACACAAAAACACCATTAATTTTTTCATATGCCCCATTGTCTTCTCACAATGTTGAAATAGCCAGGCTATCAAATAAAGTTGGTCTTGGATCAAAATTACCTTGGGATCCTCAATATTTAGTAGAAAGTTTATCTGATTCCACAATATACATGGCATATTATACGGTTGCACACTTCTTGCATGGTAATTAGCATACTTTTGATAATATATTTGTTTTATGATCAATTATGGGTAGTTTTATTCTAACATCAGTGTTATGTGAAACTAGGAGGTTCCTTTGATGGTTCGAAACCGGGACCACTCGGAATCCATGCTTCAGAATTGACAGATCAAATTTGGGATTATATATTCTGTGATGGACCCTTTCCGACAACCTCCTCAATCACACAGGAAAAGCTTGATAAGCTGAAACGGGAGTTCAAATATTTTTATCCTTTAGACTTGAGAGTTTCAGGGAAAGATTTGATTCCCAATCACTTGACATTCTTTATTTATAATCATGTTGCTATGTTTCCCGAACACTTATGGCCTCGTGGTGTAAGATCAAACGGTCATTTGCAAATAAATGGTGAAAAGATGTCTAAAAGTAGAGGCAACTTTATGATCGTTGCTGAATCGGTGGAGAAGTATGGTGCAGATGCTACTAGAGTTACTCTAGCAGATGCGGGTGATTCGATCGAAGACGCCAACTTTGAAGAATCCACTGCTAATGCAGCAATTTTAAGGTTATTTACGTTGAAAGAATGGTGTGAGGTATGTGTAAATACCTTCGATATTTAACGCCATATATGATTTTAATTCATGCAATTTACAGGAATATATCAATTTATTCTATTAGGAACAAGTTAAAAATCAAAATAATCTTCGCACAGGTCCAACAGATAGTTTCAATGACCGTGTGTTTGAGAATGAAATTAACAAATTAATTCAACAAACAGACAAGGCTTATAAAGAGTAAGTGGGCAATCAAATTCTTGAGTATAATTTACATCATTACAATAGAACTAAGTATTATAATTGGTTTTATATAAAAGCACCTTTTATCGTGATGCGCTTAAATATGGATTTTATGAGCTTCAAACTGCACGTGATTGGTATCGTGAAGCCACAGTTGACGAAGGAATGCACCGAGATCTTATCTTGCGATGGATAGAAGTACAAGCATTATTATTATCACCGATAGCTCCACATTGGTCTGAATATATTTGGCGTGAAGTTTTGTCAAAGGTATTAAAATTTAATATATTAAATATTAAATTACTATATGTATTATTATTGACCTTAACTGATTACATATATTGTTACATATATTGGTGAAATAATAGAAAGGTTTTATAATTGATGCTTCTTTCCCGAAACCGTTATCTCCAGTCGATGAAAGTTTGCTTGAAGCAGGAGAATATGTTCGAAAAATAATCAAATCGATACGTGATTTAGAAATTGCATCACAAAAGAAAAAGAAAAAAGGTAAAGCAGAAGATTTTGATCCTAACAAACCTAAAACACTTAAAATATTCGTTGCTACGAGTTTTCCGGAATGGCAAGATATTGTTGTTGAAGCGATAAAACAGAACTTTAATGAGGTTTGTATTGTAACTTTTATTATGAATCGAACCATTTATTTTCACCTGATATATATTCATTTTAATATGCTATTTAGGACACTAAATCGTTTGACGATATTAAAATTAGAGAACATTTATCAGAGAAAGGAATTTTGAAGAATAAAAAGACTATGCCATTTGTTCAAGAGTTCAAAAAACGAGTGGAAAAATTTGGCACGGCAGCGTTTAACAGAGCATTATTGTTTAATGAGTATGATACTCTTGTGACATCTAAAGTATATTTGCAGCGTAGTTTAGGATATTCGAATGTGGAAGTTTTAAGAGGGGATGAAGCAAGGGAGGAAGAAGAAAAAAGAGCAATTGAATTAGCGGTCCCTGGTGAACCCGGATTTTTATTTAAAAATATCGTAGAAAAGTAATATTTATATTGATTTAACAAATGATGGTTATTTATCCTAATTATTATAATAAATAAATAATTAAGGAGTTTAATGATAATAGCATAGTTCGCATTATGAATATCGAGATACATGAGTTGTTCCCATCTAAAACTATCAACTTTCTTGAAAATATTAATTTTATCTGAAACGTTCTGAAAGTAAAAAAAATAATTTTATAATTTATACTAAGGCGCTTGTATCGATGGTCGATTTAATGATTTTTTTTTCAAATACAATGCAGTCTACCCTCGTTATCTGTTATAGCTAAAATCATAACGATAATTTTATGTAATTTGCGTAAATTATACTATCTGCAACCTTTGATACATAAACGTATGATACGTGATGTAAGATTGTAAGAAAATTTAAAGATTCAAAATTCAGTTATAAAAATAAAAATAATAAATCCATACAAAATTTAAATGAAATGGAGGCAAATTTATTTTATTAATTACTTTATAACGTAGTTATTATTAGATACAAATTATAGCTTAAATTAAATTACACTTTAATTAATAATTTATTATTTTTATAACGTAGTTATTACATACAAATTATAGCTTAAATTTAAATTACGCTTTAATTAATAATACTATTGTTACGAAATTAATTATTAATTACGGTACAATGGGATCATATATTTTTTGTCGTAACCGTAACTGGCCGTACGCTGTAAAATTCATTGGGGCATCACTAATCTTCTATTTCATTACGCTTATATCAGAAAGTCCTCCAGTCATTAAAACCGTAAATTCGGGATTTCTACAGCATGAAAGAGAACCTATTTACCATGGTAAAAAAAAGATACTGTTAGTTCTTCTCTTCACAGTCAAAGATAACGTAAACGACTTCTTTTTCAAAGTCAAGTGGCTTCGACAAAAAATCCGAAGAAGTGTAATTGAACTCTCGAAGAAGCAAAATTGGAATAGAACTCCCAATAGAATGGAAATGGAAGGACTCCCTAGAGAGTGAAGAAGAAGTTCATAGTAGAAAAAAAAAAAGAGATTTTATTCCTACCTTCCATTATAAATGGTGAGCGGAAAAATACCTGAAAGAATTAAAGCAAAAAGACAAAAAAATAAAAGAGGAAAGTTGCAAGTGAGTAAAAAAATAATGAAAGAGGGAAGTTGCAGGTGAATAAAAAAAATAATAAAAGAGGGAAGTTGCAAGTGAGTAAAAAAAATAATAAAAGAGAGAAGTTGCAAGTAAGTAAAAAAAAAAATAATAAAAGAAGGAAGTTGCAAATGAGTTTAAATACAGAAGTAAAAAACGTGAAGTACCGGTAAATAAACAACGACATTTCGCGTTTTCTTGTTTTGTTGTTTTGTTCAGATATATAAGTAACGTGATTTTTGATATTGATCTACATATTGCATAAATCGCGTTCTTGATACGTAAAAAACTAATCTAAAATATTAAAATCTTACGTGTCACGTTTAGTTTACCCTGTATAAATAATTTCCGGATCAGTCCGAATAACAATAACTCTCCCGTGATGAGATTATATATTGCCGACCAATCGGAATAATCGCGTCGTTTGTAGGTGGCTCATTTTAGCCCACTTTAGGTTCAAATGAACCTAGCCGG